TTGCATTCTAATTATGAAGAAATGCATAAAAAAAGAAAAAGAAATCCAAACATTTTATTGTAAAAATCATCTTTGGGGAAAATCTTCGTACCGTGTCCTTTCAAGATGTTGACTCTCCATAACTTTCTATCCTTTTTAGCTGTTTGAAAGGTTTGTCTTTTCGTCATCGCTCCCAGTCTCTTTTCTGCCGTCCATTTACACAAGCTTCTTAGATAGGTTACTCGATGTTTTCCTCTTGCCCTCAATATCTTCTGTGAGTGTCAGATTCTCCAATCCCTCTTTCCTCATTATGTGTCCTATAGATTCCAAATGTCTTTTTAATTCTAAGTATAAGCGACCTTTTTGTTTCCATTTTCGTTAAAAACTTCCTCGTTACCACGAAATCTAAAATAAAGTTGTTGGACGCGTTCATTTTTTTTTTTTTTTTACCGGTATTTTTTCTTTTTTTTTTTGTTGCTTATTCCACCAAGGAAAATGATTTATGATGTGTTATAGACAATGTTAGCGAGATATAAAAATAAAAATCACTTTCTCTGTATGAGAAGTCTAGCAGTAGAACTCTTGTGCCATAGTTTTCTTTGTCCCTGAAAGAAGATAAAAAACAAAAAAAAAAAAAGATTTAAGCTCCTTTTTCGTGATCAAAACCAGAAAGATCAAGTGCTTCTTTTTAAGCCAGTAATGTTAATAAAAGATTGGGTATTTCATGACGTCATTTTTTCCTCGTTTATTGTATATCTTGCTGCTGTCTTTCTCCTTACTTTGACCCAATATGAAGATCGAACAATATTGGCATTGATTTCTATCATTGATCAACCTTTGATAACCAAGGAAGGTAAGTTATTCATTGAAGTTCTGGCTTCTTGTTTCTCAAATCTTCTGACAGGTAAAAACTAATAACGATTCAAGGACAGATGGTAATACTAATAGTGAGATTAGCCGTTTCCATACAGGAAATATTTACAACCCACTGACCAAAGAGTTAGTGTTACTGTCGTCTGAAATTCATGAAATCTTTTTCTTAAAACAGTTTTTTCAGGAAAATAGGCTTCTCAAGTCCACTAGTTGTTCTAGTATTGATGGAAGTTTCCTTTCTAAACTTTTGTTTAAAGTAGTGTGGAAAGTCGACATCTTAATTATATCATTATTTTCTCTTCTAGTTACATGTGCTATCCATTTTAGTTGTTGCTGCTGTTGGAAGAATTCATGTGATTGGATTTTTGTTAGTTGGTAAAGTTCTTTGGGTTTCTGTAGCACCAGTCTGTAAGATTTAATGATGGATTGTCTTCCTTAAGACTCGCAAGATTCATCCGTTTGAAACCATTTTTAATTACTGATATGAAAAACAGTTTACTCATTTCTGACCGATTTGGACGCCGCGCCTGACATTCACATGAGAGTCTTGATCTGACGCGTGTGCGACCTTTATGGAAGGAGGCAAGCCATCAGGTAAAGCCCCTTTTAAGATTAGCAAAGGTCCGATGTTCTTTGAGAATAGATTATTCCCGAACAATAGAAATCGATAAATCGATAAGCAAGCGGGAGATAAGAACCAGTTAGGATCATTAGTGTAAATTAAGGTCTTCATTCTGATAGATACTGACTTAGTAGTTAAATACTCGGGGTCTGAAGGTCACACTTAGAACGAGAGAGTATATTGCAAGAATAAAGAGGGAGCATAAGAAAGATAGATACATAGACAGATAAAGAAAGAATGATAGAGATAGAGAGAGGAAGTAGAGAGAAACCCAGTCATATAAAACGAAAATGACTTGAAGAATATTTTTTATTTACACTATTGATATGCGGCCATTTGTCCTCATCTTTATTGCTGTTATCACAACGTTTCGGCCGTTGTGCCCTCCGGCCTTCATCAGGTGTGTATCGATCAGATTCCCCCCTAAGCAGTAGCCTAAATGCGTTGGTTCGTGAATTTCATGACGGAGTAATTGTAAGTTAAATCCCTGGGTCGGACAGGGCGATCAATAACTGTGCAGTGCTAAAATTAAGAACTAGACGAGATATCTATAGACGTAGAAAACGAAACGGGTTCAATCTGCACCCGGAGATTAAATAAAGGATTCAGTTTAGAAAACACATCACCCGAAATGTTGTGATAACAACAACAAAGATGAGGACTATGGGTAATATTAGGTTGGTGCAAAAATAATGACGTAATAATGTCGTTTTGTGACGTATTTTTTAGCCTCAAAAAACGACATTATTACGTCATTATTTTTGCACCAACCTAATAACATGACTCTAGTTTTTAGGTTAATATTTCGGTTTTGTAGCAACTTGCGGTGTTGGGAGAAACTGCTCCTAACACAGCCTATTCTAAAACTCCCTATAAAACAAAACTCCTTATAAAAAGAATTGATTTTATTCGTATTGCCAACACAACGCAGGCGGTCGTTTTCATCAGTTCGAGTCTTAATTCAGTTTTGTAATTATCATTACTTTTCAAGGCGTAAATGATCATAGCTCTCCACAGACAGCTCCTTTTTTTTTTATACGTGTGAACTGCCATGAATTCTTGGAAAGGATAATACTATGGTTTCCCGTTACCATCACTGCAGATTTAAATTCAAACACTGGCTGCCACTCAAGGCATTCAATAGCCCAATCTACCCTGCTATTTAATTCACGTCTAGGGAGAGAAAATATAATTTCATTCACGCCCTTCTCAAGAGCATTTGCACGAAGGAAATAACTCTTACTAGGCTAGATTAACTTGTTTAAAACGAGCTATTAGCGAATGACCAATAAAATATTTTATACTGACATACATTATGTCATATGCTTGTGCATGACTCACCATAAGAAATGAACTTTCTTCAATCAAATCATACTCCATTAGTTGAGCAAATATCTTAATTAATTTCTAGCCAATCGAGTTTATTTCCATAGTAATCAGTCCTTAAAATACTCCCCCCCCCACACTTGCCATAAACTGTTTCATCTTCACTGAGAATTGAAATACTTTTCTACCCGTTTCCATAAATAAATATTTCGGAGTGCTTCGTCGTGACACAATATTTAAAAAGCAAGTCTCGCAGACCATCAGTGTAGTGATCTTTATCCTCCGTGGGTGTCTCATAATTGTGAATTTGGGCTGTACAATTATTAGTAAATATTAGGAGCCTGCCTCGTATTTGAAGTTGTGTATTTTCCCACCTGAGAGAGAGTTTGACTTTAAAACGATTCTGTTCAAAGCCAGGAAAGAGACAGAAGACTGGTGCAACACAGTCTTCCGTCTCCATTCATATAAGGATCTGCGTATGATGTAACGGATAGCGGCCCGCAATGATAAATCGGAGAGCCGAGTTCTAATTCCAATCGGGTTTAGGAAAGGTATTAATCCATCTCCCTCATTCCAGTTATGGGTTAAATAGTAGAACTTGTATCTGGAAAAAGATCATTGCTCTACTCAAAGAAAAATGTTAATGCAATATTCACTTGCAAAAAAAAATTTATTCTTACAATCCAGAATATGTTTCGACTTTAAATAATCCACAAACCGTAAAAGACAAATCAATCATACATAGCTCTATTTAACCTTATGTCGTACTAATCTGAGTATTTTATACTTGTGCAGATGTAAACAAAAATAAGTATTTGTATGCTAAATATTTACGAAATTTAGCTTAGTATGACACAAGGTTATAAGTCCTGGGCACCTAATGAACTCGCTAGAGTCATCATCATCCAGTGAGGCTAACCAGTTACTCACTACTTCACAGTGAGGTTCCTTGAATATTAAAAAAAAAAAAAAAATGGATTATTTTTTTTTTAATCGTTTCACTCCAAGCAAGGCGACAATGCCACTAGGACGCAGGAGATTACAAAGAGTAAAAGAATAAGATTATAAATAGTGAGGATTGTGGAAAGGTAAAAAAAAAAAAAAAAGGAACAAGTTCAAGAAGATGGCGATTGACGTTGCATTTAAACTTTTGAAGATTGTAGGAAGCAAGAAATCGGAAAGAAGTTCCACGGGTGGGAAATGCGAGGGAAAAAACTGTTGAGTATAAATGACCATTTTCTTCTAGCTAGTTCAAAAGTAAAACAGTGAGACCTAGTTGTCAATCTAGTGGCACGCGTATGTAGTCGGGACACCGAGAAAAAAGCTCGTCTGAGCAGCTGCCATGAGAATATTTGTAGAACAGACAAAGGGAAGACAACTCACGTCGGGGGAGAAGGTGACTGGAGATGAGATGCCTGGCAAAGATCGATTGTATTTCAGAATCCTCTCTGGATTTTGTCAAAAATCTAATGCACACTCACAGTAGTAGCAGCAGACTAGATATAGCAACAGTATTCAATACACAAACGAATGGTAGATTTATAAATGTGCAAAACAGCTTCTGACGAGAAAAGTCTTTTGGCACGGCACAGTGGACCAACCTTCCTTGTAGCAGACGTAGCGACTCGATATAGTCGCTCCGCTCCACAATGGTAAACGTTTCTGGTACTAATTTTATTTTTGCACTGTCTGTCCTAATGCCTCATCAAAAGAAATTAAGATTTCTTGTGTGTGTGTGTGTGCATACAGCCATACTAAAATAGTAAGTTAATACGTCAATTACCGAGTTACTAATATTGTGCAATTTACTTTGCGGGCTCGAAGCAATTTATTACTCAATACAACGGCTGTTTCGCCGTATTTCTTCCAAGAACAGTTCTCCCTTACCCTACCGGCGGAACACGTCCGCATCGAATGCCTGCGCTAAGTGACACATAAGCTAGTTAAAATTTATACTGTCCCTTTCTCACTATGTCAATCAGCAAACACCATTCGTTTCCCTGAACTGAGAATTTCCCACGTTCATTTGCTTTCACGAAATAATTAGTCACTTTTTATTCAATCTCTGTCACTTTCTTTATTTTAGGGACCTTTTTTTTCTTCTTAAAATCTTACCTCTCCCACTATTTATGTCGATTTTGTATTCTTCCTGTCAGTTTTTCTTTTTCTCGTCTTGTTTTTCAAGAACCACGACGCTGAAATGATTCTCCATTCGCTGATGGATTTTATTTGCATTCGTTTCTCTTTTTTCCATGAAATATCCCCCCACCCCGCACTGTAAGTTATTTTAATAAAAATATATTTTTGTTCTTTTAACTCGGATTAGATATATGGAAAATTTTATGATCATTCCCTGAGGTTCATTTTTCTTCAAACTTTTCCGTGTTTTTAACCTGTTTGCTGCAAAGTATATTTTGTAGCGTTGGAACTCATATGTCGGGGTTTGTTTGTTTTTTCGCCGTAAAAAAAATGGACGAAGCTAGAACATTTTCACTTCATATTTAAAACTTTATTAACTTCATATGAATCGACTAATTTGTAATGCGTTATCTGAGTGATTATATACCACTTTTCACTGTTATTTAATGATGACCAATTGACTAAAAATCTAAGCCCTTCAGTAATCAAATGTAAAACAAAAAATTGGCGAAATATTTAAAGTTAAGAAAGTATTTCTGAAAGGTTACAGCAGAGACAATACCTCGGTAAGAAAATTAATAAAAATCATTTAATTTACAAATGAAATTATTTATTTTCCCGATTAAACATTATTTGCCTTCAAAATTTAAAAAAAAATGCAGCTAAAGAGATTAACTACTTTGAATATATATATATATATATATATATATATATATATATATATTGTATATGTATTGTTTATTGTGCGCGAAGTAATTAATCCAACAATAATATTTATTAAGGCAATGTATGTAATACTATGATATATGTAATGTGTGTGTAAAAATTTCAGATAGTGTATACTGTAAAAGGGCAATATGAAAAAAGACAAAAGTATACATTCGCCTTGATAAAGTTCCTCAGAGGACGAAACGCGTCGGATAAAATAAATTTACGTTTTGACTTATATAATGTTGCTGTGTTGTTAATCGAAGTAAATAATATCCTTATAAAAATAAATAAACTTAAAAGAAACATTGATTTTTTGATAAAACAACCACATAGTAATTTTATCATTTCTCTCTCTCAAACATTTTTTCTGCAAATTATAAACGAACGCTACAGAAATTGATTCTTTCTGTTTTGCCAGTTATTTCATCCATTCACAGTGCTCTTCTCTTTATCGTCTGCATCTTTCCAGTTTCCAACAAGCGACAATTTTTTTTTTATAATTTCCACTTCGTTCACAGCAATAAAATATCACCACCTTTTCCCTTTATAATAAGATTCCTCTTCATCTTTTTACAAGCCGTAGCGAAATATCTTTTCAAGCGCTTCCTGCTACTCCTTTTTACACTTTCATCCCCACCCCATAACTTCATCTTTGTTTCTGGTCTCATCCTAGCCTCATTTTTGTAAGTGTCTCACCATAAACATCCCATGTTCTCAAGCTAGCTGTTTCTGCAGCAATTCCAACAGGTCCTGAAAGGAGATCACATGATTGGATGAGTTTTCAAGACCAATGTGGGTGTATCAACAACGCACATCAACCACAGATCGGCAAGAAAAACGCACATAACGTGCTGCACTGCCTACAAATATAACCGACCTCAAGTAAGTGACGCTGCTTTTAATTTAATTTTTATTTTTAATAATATACTGTGTCGTGTTTATTTAGTTTTTGAGTGTGACACTTTAATTTTGTTTTGTTTTTTTAATTGCAATGAATATTTAGTATGTTTCTAAACTGAATTAGGTTTTAATGATAAATACTCCATTAACTCACGGAAAACTTTTCATTGATAATGGCATCTGAAAGCCCAAAGCGTTCAGAAAACATATGTTCAAACTCGCCCATGAAACCAAAAATTGTCACAACCGAAGAAAAGTCAATAAAAAGACTTAAAGAACTTCCGTTGGTTTTCAATCAACCTTTTTATATATTGATTAATAATATTTATTGTGGAATAGTGCTCTGTATGGGAGATAGAGCGTTTGTAGATATAAACAGAGTGGGTCTAGGCATGAATATTGCATAATGACTGTCACTTTTACAATTCAACCTGACCTTCAAGCGCACGCGCGCGCATATATATATATATATATATATATATATATATATTTTATTTATTTTCTTGTTGCATCATGTCTATTATAATTCACTCAAATTATACTTTTTTTTTCAAGTGTATTTCTGGGCAAAAATGAAAATTTATGGCGTTAAACAAAAAAAAAAAACATTTCTTTTGTGTAATTATTTGATAGTTTTCTTTCTCGCTTTTTAAGAGAAACTTATTCGGTCTAAAATTATCCCAGATGATTCTCCATTTAAATATTCCTGTATACTTTCTTTCATTTCGTAACAGAGCAATTATGAATAGACATTTTTTCTTTCAATTCTGTTTTCATTTTTTTTTTTTTTTTAATAATTTATTTTCAAAAGTTATATATTTACTTTTGCGCTACATGTTTGAACTTTAGACCATCATTTTAAAATGAATTTTGTTAATGGCTCATTTGGTAAAGACGTCACTTCTTTCTTTGGTGGGAGATAAATTATTGGTTTGCAAGTATCAAAATTTATACTGATACAGCCGGATACCACAGTTTTTTTTGATAATTTTTTTTATTTTGTTATGTAATTAGAAAGCTATTCAATTACATTTTCGGCTCCGCCTGGATTTCAAATATTATCATCAGTAGATACATCTACTTAACATCTGAGTCTGTTTTCTTCAAGTCCTACGAGTTTGATTAAGCATTTTCATACTCAAAATTGTTTTTCCCGACGAAAACCTTATGATAGTTCTTTGGTACCCACCTTTTTCTTTTTGTCGGTCTTATGACTGTATTTCATGGTCAAAAACTAAAATAAATTTAAGATATGTCCCAGTTGCCAAAGTTCTGTTTACTTCAAGATGACGGACGCCCTGCAACTTTGATATTTTTAAAACCTGGTTTTATTTCAGGCCTAAAATGCTGTAAAGTTTGACAGTATATCTGTCAAATCTTACAGCATTTTAAGCCTGTTGGTCCCATTTTATTCTTTTGAAATCAGAAAATTCTGAACTAAAGGACAATTTTCTCTCCCCTTTTTTTTTAATATTCTATACATTCACTAATGGAACTATAAATTCTAATTATATAAAGTAACCTAAAAAAAATAGAAAATATTTACTTATGAGATCCGAATATACGTTTTCAAGCGTTATTCTGCAAGGAATTACTTTAATGTTTCAACAATCCACATTCTTTTGTATTTGTTATTAACAACCAACGAAATAACAAGAATTAATAGACGTCCTCTAATAACTTCAAATCGCAATCTGTTGAAGCAAACTCATAATTTTAAAACTCGGAATTACAAAATTTACAACAATGCAAATTTAACCAATTTATTTTAATTTTCCTATCAATCTTCAAATTTGTTGGTTTGTTTGTCTGTTAGTTCTGTTTAAAACGTCATATTGAATATTTGTAATTAATTGATTGAATAATTTTCAAATATTTTTTTTTCTAATCGTAAAAAATAAAAAATATAGACGAACGTTTAAGCTTGTAGGGAAGCTTTATTTAATGCAATTTGACTACTGGCCATAAGTGAAGTTCGACCATTTCTTTTACAGTCGAGTAGTTAAAGAGGAAGATGATTATGGCTACCTTCACTACACTATGTTTATTAAACAAAATACATTATAGCACAAGGCCGAAGGGTGGAAAAGGCTGGTTATCACTATCCTCCTCTCAGCTATTTCAATCTACGGCCCATTCATTCTAACAATTGACAGCCACTAATTCCTCTTCAATCTTCATTCATTTCGAACTTATGCCAAAATATCGCATTTTCACAGTGTCGGCCTAATGATACACCCATGATAAAAATTTCTGGTTATATGTACAGACTATTTTTTTCAAATTTATAAAACTTTGGGATGTGCGGTGGAATATTTACAATGTTATGAAAGGTGGGGTGGACCCATTTAATCAAATAAAAAGATAAACTAAACATTTTAAAAAGAAATTAAATCTCTTAGCAAGGTATCGTCCAATTTACAACATCTAATCTAGACGTATATTACAAAAAAATAAAAATAGGAAATTTCAGATTTGGGAGAGAAAAAGAAAAAAAATCATTTTCTTTCAAACAATTTCTTTTCTCCAGTCAAAGAAGTGTTCAAAAAAATAAATGTTAGTTTTTAACTCAGCTTGTGTGTTTCCTTTTTTTTTTTTTTTTTTTTTTTTTTTTTTTACGGCTTAGTGCGAGAAATCTAATGTGTTGTTTATTTTTCTCTGAAATATTTAGTTTCGATATTTTAATAAGTTATGGATTTTTATCTCTCTTAATATTTTTAAAACAGATTTTTTTAGAAAGGGAACAGCAGACTTAAGAAAATATTTTTATTTTACGATTAAAATTTCGTCTTGAACTTCGGTTTCCAAAATAAATTCAGCGATTTAACTTGCTTTGAATAATTTAAATGTTTATAAAACAGTTTTTTAAAGAAGATATTATATAACAGATATTATCATTTTCTTTTTATGATAACCCGCTTCTGTGATATCACAAAGGGGTTCATCCAACCAAAATGACAACTGCTCTCTACCATTATTGTTCGCATGAACCCCGATAAAACGAAATGATTTCGCCTTTGATAACAGCCAGCCAACATACTGAGTCTGTTGGATCTGCATAGGCAAACTAACTAGTAAAACGACTTACAAGCCACCTCCAAAATGGTTATCAAAGTATGCTAGTAAGGGTGGGGTGAAACCTTCACGAGAGAACAGACCCAGTCATTTGCAATAAGATGGGTTACTTATATACAAAATATCCACCCTGAACTACAGAAGGTCACGAATTAGTCTTATTCTTTTAAGCTCTGACCTCTACCCTCGGCCATTTAACAGTTTTAGCCAGAGTGCCATGATCAGTTTTCTGGTATCGCTCAACAATAAAAAAAAAAAATGTTGAGAGTAATGACTTAACCAAGGGATTCTTGGCCCATCTGAGTTTGATGGTGTCCCCCTGGGACTGCCCCTTAATGTCCTTTGGGAAAGTTAACCTTATAGCGCTATAGAGGGATGGGTGAATAAACGCCGGGATTCTCCCTGCACAGAAGTGTTTTGCATTTTTCACTTTTCAGCTGGTAAAAACGGCCTACAGAAAAGCCAACTGTTTGCTTCCTCTAGCCTATCTCCTATTTGCTGTGTGACTTAACTAATTCTGACTATGGTTAACAACTAGTGGACATCGAGAAAATTCGTAGGTACCGTCCGACTTCGCCAGCTCAACAGTTGTGAAGGACCCTTAAGTCCCTGATTCATTACGGTTGTATATTTTTCATGCTAAGAAATTTCCGGGTCAACACAGCCTATGTCTTCCAGGTGTTGTACTACTTCTCCCCGCCCCCATTCCTTGACTCTATACAGAGAAACGTCTCTGCTTTTTTAACGATGGAGGAAGAGTTGTGGATGAGTTTTTGTGCCAGTAATGGATAGCGGCTCGGATTGAGGAATCGGAGAGCCGAGTTCGAATTCCAGTCGAATCCATTACATTTACTTACGTGCTAATACCCTTGGGAAACGTATGAATCCTCTTACCTCCCCCCATGCTTTCCCCAGCTATCAGTAAATAGCACGATAAGCCGGGTTCTATAGCCTTGGATGACAACTGGTCTACCTTAGAAAGAAATGGCAACCTACTGCGGGAAAAATCTGCCTCGTCAGTCATGTATCGAAAGGTACATGATCGCCTAAGCGTGTATCACGCATGGCACATAACTGATTGAATGGATGATAGTAGTACAACAGCTATCAGCACAGATAGCAGAACCAGCGTGCCGAGTTCAAATGACTGCATTGTCAGTTGTGTTCACTTTTACACAAAATGCTCTTGGTAAAAGCATGAATCCATTTCTTCGACTTCCTATGGATGAAATAGCAGTGTATATACCGAGTTCTCTAGTTTTATGTGGCAACCAGACTAAGAGAAGGAAAACTTAATTCCAAACACTGGAGAAGGCAACGAGAAACCAATCCACTATCTTTTCAAAGAACGGTCATGGCAATTCACTGCTAATAATGAAATAGCGTATGTGGAGAGCCACTATAGTCTATACCAAAGGGATGTTGCTTTAAAATATGAATAAGGGTAGGAGACTAACAATTTGCGGAATTTGTTTTGATGGTAAAGTTTTTTTTTATTTATTTATTTTTTTTTATCAGCAATGCTAGATTTTGTAGTGCTGACAGAAATTATGACCTTGGGGAGAAACAGGATAGAAGAGAAGTTAACAACCACCACTGTTTTGTTTGTTTTTTTTTTTAAAGAATTTTCTTTTAGGATCAGCAGTTTCTCTTTTTTGCACCACAATCTGACATGGCTGTTACATCCTTTTAACTTTTCAACATACGACAAATTGGCTTTTCCTCAGGGACTGTGCATGTCCTCAAGTCTGGGCCCCAGTAGAATACTGCTTCCCAGATCTTCTATATTTACCTGCCACCTGTTAATCCTCTCCAGACTTCTCGGATGGAAGCAAGATGTTTTTGATTGGAGTGGTCAAGGGCGGGGGTGGGGAGATGTTCTACCAAATCAGATGTGGTAAGTGAAA